AAGAGTTAAGATTTATCTTACTACATTTCAAGTTAAATAACTTCAGTTGATAGAGAAATTTCCCTTATAGAATTACAGCTAGGATATGTAGGGGAAAAAAAAAAGAATTAGAAAATCCCATTTTATATCTTTAATAGATCTTAATACTATTACATGAAAGGTTTAATAGAATCTCAATTTCAAATTGTGTCAAAATCTCTCTAGATTACCTGTTTGTAGAAATAGAATCAAAATAATTTTATAACAGAGATCTGGTCATGACCATTTTAATCATCTTAGAGTCATTAATAGGGAGACAAGATATTTATTATATGACATGTAATATGATGCAGTAGGAAGTCCATGAAGAATATCTACAATGTATTCTTGACAAAAATGCTTAACCTTAATGCAATCGAGGTTCCAGAATTAATTCGTACTTTGTAAGAAAAGATGTAAAAGTAGTTAAACGACACTCTGAGGAAAGAGAAGACTCAAAAAGGTAGGACATTCTATGAAGACTGGCCTGGTCTCCTCAAGGAGTCAATGTCATGGGGAAAAGGGGGCTGGGGGTTGTTCTAGTTTAAGAGAATGTAACATAGTGACCTAACAATCAAAAGAAATACTTGTCACTTGACTGGATCTTGGTTTGAAGTAACCAAGGAAAAATATGAATATTGGATCGATTAGGAATAATTTTTAATGTTATTATAATATTAATAGTACAGTTCTATAGAAAGTTCCTTCTTTAGAGATGCATACTGAAATATATAGGAGTAAAATGTCATGATTTTTGTAATTTTCTTTAAAGTACACAACCTTCTCCTCCAAAAAAGAAAAAAGAGTAACTATATAAAAATGTTATCAACTGTTAGATCTGGATGAAAGAGTCCAGCAGTCCTTATGCAAGAGGGATACGTTCCAAGACGCCCACTGGATGCCTAAACTGCACAGTACAGAACGCTTTTTAAATTGATTTTTTCCTATACGTACATATGAATGAAAAGTTTAATTTATAAATTAGACACAGTAAAAGATTAACACCAATATCTAACAAAATAGAACAATTATAACAACATACTGTAATAAAAGTTATGTGAAAGTAGTCTCTCTCTGATAACCGAGAGGTGACTAATGGGTGGGCAGCATGTACGGTGTGGATAAAAGGATGGGCAAGAGGATGATTCACAGCCTGGGTGGAATGAAGCAGGATGACACATGATTTCATCTCTACTCATAAGGAAGAGCAATTTCACAACTCATAAGGAAGAGCAATTTTAAATTTATGAATTGTTTATTTCTGGAATTTTCCATTTAATATTTTTGTACTGGTTGATCTCAAGTAACTGAAACCACAGAAAAACAAAACTGCAATAAGGGGGGGATACTGTATATAGTAATTCATTATAATTTTTTTATTTGAAATTACACATAATAAAAGTCTAGGAAAAAGAAATAAAAGGAAAAAAATCCTCTAAATTCTTTTCAGAAATGATCAAAAAAATATGGTTTTACTAAGAAGTGAATTTACAATGTTATATCTCTAGAGGTCAGTATTGTATAAGAGAATAGAGAGCATCGCTCAGATTATATCAGAATAATTTTAGGTAACAGTTACTAATTTACTATTTCAAAAAATATGTCATGTTATATAAACTCAAAACATTCAGTATGGACAAAATTATTTCAATCGCCTTAAAAATACAGAAAGTGCTTAAATATTAACGACTGATGATGAGGTAAATAGTGATAAGGTAAAATAACAGCTAATAAAATGTGTTTATTCTAAGATAATGCTTAAAAAAAATCCAGTAGGAAATAAAAAGTGGGTGGTACTTTGCTACAAACTTCAGACATTATAACTTATTTTTAATAGCTACAAATTTTCAGAGTGGATATACTAATACATTTATACATCACTTCATTACATTACTATTCATGTCTCTTGCTTCTAAAATTTCAAACTCAATGAATGAATTATAATTAAATCTGATATGAATTTTGCTCTAACTACTGCTAGCAACATTATCTCCCTTCTGTTCATTATAGTCAAGTGTGGCTAAATTCTGGTAAACATACAATATTTGACAGTTGGTACTCTGCTAACATCAATATAGTTTGGATCTGAAAATAGTCCAAGAAGAGGGTATAAGTCAAACAAACCTTTGATCCTAGAACAGGATTTACTGATTTTTTTGGAATGTCTGCTGACTAGCAAACACCTTATGTTCTAGCATGCTGGGCTAGTCAGCTGCATCACAGAAGAAAGGGCATTTTATTAGTAACTTACAAAGACATTTTTGGAACATGACTTGCTCCTAAGTTAGAAACTTTTGGCTTTTTTATTCTAAGGGAGGAAAGCCTATTGGGAAGAAATACATATTCTTATGGAATAAAGATTTTTTTAAATTTGCATTTTATTATCCCAATTTTCCCTGCTAAAATGAACAGATGTGGAAACTAGGGCCCAAAGAACATGAATCTATTTGTCTATCTAATGTCAATTTCCTCTGAATTTCCTTTACTATGGTTCTGATTCTTTGGAGTAGTGGGCTCTGTTTGCAGCTAAGGATGCCATGTGACATTTGACCAACGAGATGAGGAAGAGAGCTTCAAATTAATACAAAGAACAGCTGGCACAGATCTTTTGTCTCTCTTCTTCCCTCTTTCTTCCTGCCTAGAATAGACCCACGGTAACTGTAAGCACTCATCTTTGTAAGCACGCAAACAAAAAGCCATTTTCAAAGATAAAAAAAAAAACACAAAAAACAAAAAGAGGAGTCAGGTGCTTATCAGTATCATAAAGCCATAGAACAACCCGTACTTTCTGGCTGTCTTACTAGGTGAGAAACATAAAGCCCTTACTTGTTTTACTTGTTTAACCACTGTAATCAGATTTACTTTACATGCAGTAAAATGCAATCCTAAGTGGTATAGAAAAGGCAATGAGAGACTGTTAAGAGACTAAGAGAGGGCTTCAAAGACTAAAGGCCTGTACTTAACTTTATATGCCCATTTTCTATTTTTATTTTTAAAAAAGCTACTGTAATTCCTATATTTTTTCTAGAGTTGTTTTGAGGCTAAGAATTCATGTAAGTGCACTTCATAAACTGTGAAAATACTAAACAAATGTAAGATAGGAATGAGTGGTTAGCTCTTATAGTAACATTTTGAACCGTATGGTTTTCATGGTAAGAACTGCTAAGCCTTTTTTATGATTTACTTAAAAAAGATGATAACATTTTGCTTGTCACGCAGTTATCTATTGAAAAGTTCAAATGAGATAACATTAAGTATAATGCAAATTGTTAAATACTATACAAATGTTAGGAATCATGGAGTTATTATTATAAAAGTGGTGTGATTTAGTGATTTGCATAAAATTCCTGGGTTGATTCCTCCACTAATTTAGCTGGATGAGCTTGAGGAATGTGCCAAATTTCCAAGTTTCATTTTTTCACCTTTAGTGGGAATACCAATAGTAACCATGTCTCTCCTTCATGAGCTGTATTAAGCGTAGCATTACTGTTAAACTATACCCCAATGCTTTCCCTATTTCCCCTGTGTGACAGATCACTGAATTTTAGGTTGGATGACCACTACTAAAATAAAGACTACATTTCTTAGCCCCCCTTGTGGCTGGGTTCTAGTTATGTTTTAATCAATGAAATGTGAATTGAAGTGACTCACACAATTTACAGGTCAAACCCTCAGTGAGTCCTTATTCCCAGAAACCGCAAAAGAGACAGAGAGGTCCTCAGCTGCTGGGGAGTCCGTAACCAGCTGTGTTCATCAACACACAAAGAATCTCTCATTTTCATTAAACAGTTTCTGTCCTCTAAAGAAAGTTTAGAAAGCTCTGCTCTGTCAGTATTATGAGTACCAACAATAAAATCCTCACTGTATCCAGTGAAGGGGACTGACTCTAATAATTACTGAGCTACAATTCTGAAATTCTGACAGGATGGTTAAGTGTGACAGACAAATGATTTAACAATATTAACTCTTACTCTAACATATTTCTTACCTGTATATTCAGAAAACGGCTTATGTATTACTCCTAGCACAGGTTTACCGTTTACAGCCACACACACCATAGTAGTGACATACTTTCGAAGATCCTCTATGAGAAAAAACCGACCAACAAACAAAACACGCAATCGTCAAAGTACATATATAAATTCAGGATACAATGTTATATTTTGTTTATTAAAAATTATTAAAAATTTATATACTTAAAATGTCTTTCTTAGTCAACAACTCTAGCAAAAGTTGTCTAGCAATGAGAGCCAATTTAAGGAAGTAGCTGAGTTTTGGTTTTGTAAGCAAATTACCTGGGTTATTTTCCCAGCCTGCCATTTTATTATCTGCATATCTTTGAGGAAATTATTTAAATTCAGTTTCCTCATCTGTAAAATACAGACCATGTAGTTAAGAACCCACCTTTAGGTATAAATTAAAATAATTTTTAATTTTAGCATTAAATTTAAAAATCAAACACTTAGAATAGCCCCTGCACAAGGGATGTACTCACTATATATTATCACTATTATATGATCAGGACAGTCTCAGTTTAAAGAAAACTCTTTTATAAATAAACCCCTGGATATTCTCTATTTCTATTATGTACTCCTACAAAATATTGTTTTATAATTTCAGTCGTTATTAGATATACACATCTAGTATCCTATTCCTGTTCTCCAAATAGTTTATAGCTATCAAGTGTCAAAGGGTCAAGTTCAAAGCTTAAGCACAAAGGTGAAAAAGCAGAAGCCCCTACATTCAGAGAACTTACCATTTGAAGGAATACAAATATATAAACAAACAACTTTAACATATATATATATACCAAGAGAACAGAGAAAAGGCAGGAATTAGTAGGCCTAAGAGAGGATCCACAGAAATGAAATCTGAGCTAGGACTAGGTAAAAAGAATGAAAATGGGATGGGGGTGGTAATTCTCTGTTTTGCTAAATACTTGCTCTCTTAGTGCCTAGGGTTTACTATTTTAAATTCCAATGATAGATATAAATGCAATAAAATCAAAATTCTATCACAGGTATTATATTCTGGCTATATAAATACCTCAATAATATATACCACAATAAATAAACACCTCAATAAGTAGATGTCAAATAAGAACCATTTTGTTGTGACTGCTAAAATCTTCCCTTCACTGAAGAATCAGTGACATAGCAAGCTACTATAATTGATAAGAGAGAGTATGGCATAACTACAGTGGTTTGGCGGGGGGCGGGGCACTGAGAATAAATTATCCAGTGCAAATGGTTCACATGACATTGCATTAATCCATCTCTCAGTCTTAAAATCTAATTGGAAAAGTTGTCTTAGATTGGTAAAATATCTACCACCACGTATAATATCACCTGCCTTCATTCTGGTTCCCTGATATATAACGGCAATCTAAACTTTGAGATAAACTTAAAATTACCTGTATATTCTTGTGTAGCATCGAGTGGGTCAATCCAGACAGTAACACTTTCTGCTGGTACCTCTTTAGGGGTAGCTATTTCCTTCAGGATGTCTTCAGGAATTTTATGATCCCATAAGATAATCTCCTGATCAGATGCATCCACATGTTCCTCTGTATTTATCTGCATCAAAAATAGCTGACAGTTAAAAAATTTTGAAAGAATAAATCACTACCTGAGAAGGCATGCATGAGAAAAACATTTCAGACAAAAACACATTAATCGAAAGTAGGTAAAGCAGTACTTTTATTTATTTTGAGGCATTTCATTACAAAATGAAACTACATGTAAAAGAAATTACAGCTACATCTTGTCTTCAACTACTTTCCAATCTGGTATGCCAGCTTAGCTTGTTGTCTAAGCAAGACGAAGAATCCAAATATAGAGAATACAGAGAAAGTAAGCATCGAAGAAAGAAGCAGGATGCTACTGTGCTGACAAGCTCCCCTTCCAGAGCAGATCGATGTGTTTATATTGAATGCAATGCCACTACAGTGTCAGAGTGATTATAACAATGACAGTACATGAGCAAAAACCCTACAACTATCAGCAATCTCTGTTAAAGTACCCTGAAATATCCCAAATTGTCATAGAAGAGGTTAAAGATAGTAATATTCCTGAAACACAAGGCCACTTAAATCCTAAAATATTTTAGTACAGTGTATAGTTAAACATTCAATTCATCCATGCACTTTTTCCTTTATTGATTTAGCAAATGTTTACTGATTGCTCACTATATGCCGGAAACAGTGTCAGGTCATAATGTACAACAGTGATCAATGTGAGACAAACATCTCTACCCTTGTGGAGCTTAGATTCTAGTGAAGGAGATAAGTGATAAATAAGTAAACCATGTAGTATGCTGGAGAGTAGTATGGAGGAGAAAATTAAGTAGGGAAGAAGAGAAGTATGTTGTAGGAGAACAGAAGGATTACTCTAGGATTATTGCTCACAATAGCCCCAAAGTGGAAACTATCAAATGTCAATCAACTGATGAATGGATAAACAAAATGTGGTACATTCATACAATGGAATATTATTCAGCCATAAAAAGAAATGAAGTACTGATTTGTAAAAAGAAATAAAGTACTGATTCATTAATGAACCCAAAACATTATGCTAAGTGAAGGGAGCAGATACAAGAGACTACATACTAGATGATTACATTTATGGGAAATGTCTAGAAAGGCAGATCTATGGTGTCAGTAGATTAGTGGTTGCCTGTGGCAGGGGGCAGAACAGGGATTAGCAGTAAATAGGCACAAGGATATTATTAGAGTGATGAAAATGTTCTAAAACTGATTAATGACGATGGTTGCACAACTCAGCAAGTCTACAAAAAAACTACTGAACTAGATATCTGAAATGGGCAAATTATACGATATGTAAAATATACTGCAATTAAGTAGTTGTTAGTCGGTTATTTTTAAAAGACAGGGTAGCTAAGGAAGGCCACACTGAAAAGGTGACAGCAGAATGAAGATCTAAAAGAAGTGAGACTTGCAGGCATCTAAAACAGAGACTCATGGACGTGAACAATAGACAAGTGGTTACCGGAGAGGAGAGGGGAGGAGCGAGGCAGATGGGGTAAAAGGGGTTAAATGTGTGGTGACGGAAAGAAATCTATGGGAGATGAACACACAATGCAATATACATATGCCTTATTGTTAAATTATACACCTAAAACTTATTGAACTCCATTAACCAATGTCGCCATTAAAAAAAAGTCAAAATCAGGTGAAGTGAAAAATAAATGAAGGCAAGAAGGAAGGAAGGGAGCACATTCCAGCCCATGGAATTAAAAATGCAAAGGCCCTGAGGCAGGGATGTGCTTGGTGTCTTTGGAGCACGGCAGGAAGCCAAGCATGGCTAGAATGAGTGAGCCAAGAAGAGGCTGAGCCAGACAGTAATGGAAGCCAGATGGTGAAGGACCCTGCAGGCATGACACAGTCAGTTGCCCTCCATCATAGCCACTATTAACAACATGCAGAAAGACCTAGTCATTGCAGAAAACTAACGAAGGGTGGGGGCATGGGGAGAGGTAGAAGCAAAATCATAATATGTAATTGGTGACTGATTACTGAGAAAATCCAGAAGAACTTGTGGATAAATTATAGACTTAATAACAGAATACAGCCAAGTTTCTAGATATAAGATCAATAATTATCAATCAACTGCATTTTCATACACCAGCAATAAATATTAAAAATATTTAACATAAAAAAAGAAACCTAGCAACAGAAATAAATTACCTGAAAATAAATGTATGCAAGATTTTGTAAAAACACTATCAAGAAAATTAAACTATATTTAAAAACACCAATGACTTTTATAACATGGTAAAGATGTCAATTTCGCATCAGTAAACTACAGATTTAATGAAACTCCAATTTTTTTACTCCTTCTTAGAATGAGGACAAGCCATTTAAAAAAATTTACATGACAATTTAATTCAATACAACAGCAAAAAGCCAGCAAAACCCATGACACTTTAGAGAGAAAAAAAAAAGAGACTATCATGGTGGAGTGACTTCCTTTATCAAATATCAAGACTTATTTAATGCTAGATTAATACTGGTGCTGTATTTTGGATCCCCATTACAGTTCTGATGAGGTATAATTGACAAATAAAGCTGTATATGCTTAAAGTGTACAACATGATGATTTGATATGTGCATACATTGTAAAATGATTACCACAATTAAGTTACTGAATGCAGCCATCACCTCATCTATTTACGCGCGCGCGCGCGCGCGTGTGTGTGTGTGTGTGTGTGTGTGTGTGTGTGAGAGAGAGAGAGAGAGAGAGAGAGAGAGAGAGAGAGAAACACTTAAGATTTATTCTTGAAGCAAATGTCAACTATACACTATTATTTACCATGGTCACCTTGCTTTATGTTTGATTCTCAGAACTTTCTTAATTATGGCATAAATGTGCACCCTTTAACCAACAGCTCCACATTTCCCCCACCCTTTAAACTCTGGCAATCACTATTCTACATTGTTTCTCTGAAAACCTTTTTTTCTTTTTTTTAAGATTCCACACATAAGTGATACCCTGTCTGGCTTAATTCACTTAACACAATGCCCTCCAGGTCTACCTATGTTTTCCCAAAAGGCAGGCTTTCCTTCCTTTTAATAGCTGAATAACATCCCATTTTGTGTGTGTGTGTGTGCGTGTACATATCTTCATTCATCCATCAACACACACTTATTGTCCTGTTGTTTCCATATCATGGCTATTGTGACTATAACATAATAAACATGACAGTGCAGTTATCTCAAGATACTGATTTTATTTCAGTCAGCTCTATACCCAAAAATGAGATTCCTGGATTATAGTTCTATTTCTTAAAAATTTTTGAAGAACCTCCACGTTGTTTTCCATATTGGCTGTACCAATTTAACATTCTCAACAGTGTTAAAGGACTCCTTTTTCTCCATATCCTTGACGATGTTTATCTCTTGTCTACTTGATAATAGCCATCCTGAAGAATGTTTAGTGATAGCTCATTGTGGTTTTGGTTTTTTCATTTCCCTGATAAGAAGTGATGCTGAGCATCTTTTCATGTACCTGATGGCCATTTATATGCCTTCTTTGGAAAAATATTTATTGAGGTCCATCGCTAATTTTTAAACTAGATTATTTATTCTTTTGCTATTGAGTTGAATGAGTTCCTTAAATGTTTTATATGTTAATCCCTTAGCAAATATATAGTTTGCAAATATTTTCTGCCATTCCATAGGTTGCTTTTTCATTTAGCTGGTTGTTTCCTTTACTGTTCAGAAGCTTTTGTTTGATGTTGTCCTACTTGTTTATTTTTGGTTTTGTCTTCTGTGTTTTTGGTGTCAAATCCACCTCCCCCACCCCCACCTGAAAAAAACTGCTAAGAACAATGTCGAGGAGCTTTATGGTTTCAGATTTTACATTTAAATCTTTAATCCATTTTGAATTAATATTTGTTGAGTGGTGTAAGACAAAGGTCCAGTTTCTTCTGTACATGGATAACCAATCCTCCCAGCACCAGTGACTACCTCTTCCCCATGGTATGTTCTTGGGTATCTTGTCAGAGATTAGTTGAATTTATACTCTATATTCAATTCCACTGGTTTATGTGTATGTTTTTATGCCACAACAATACTGTTTTGATTACTTTAGCTTTGGAATATAATTTGAAATCATAAAGTGTGATGCCTCTATCTTTGTTCTTCTTGCTTAAGATTGCTTTGGCGTCTTACCAATTTTTAGAAGAGTTTGCTCTATTTCTTTGAAAAAATGCCACGATAATTTTGCTAGGGATTACACTTAATCTGTGGATTGGTTAGGGTAGTATGGCCATTTTAACAATATTAATTTTTCCAAAGGACATGCGATATCTTTGCATTCATTTGTGTCTTGTTTCTCTCATTAATGTCTTATAGTTTTCAGTATACAGGTCTTTCACTAACTTGGTTACATTTGTTTCAAAGTATTTTATTATTTTACTGCTATTGTAAATGGGTTTGTTTTCTTTACGTCTCTTTCAGATAGTTCATTGTTTTGAAACACAAATGATTTTTCTATGTTGACTTTGTATCCTCTGCAACTTTACTGAATTCATTTATTAGTTCTAACAGTAGTTTGGTGGAATGTTTAAGGTATTCTATATATAAAATCATGTCACTGCAAACAGAGACAATTTTACTTCTTCCTTTCCTATTTGGTACATTTTATTTCTTTTACCTACCTAATTGCTCTGGCTAGGACTTCTAGTACTAATGCTGAATGGAAGTAGTGAGAATGGACATCCTTCTCTTGTTCCTGATGAGAGGAAAAGCTTTTAGCTTTTCACCATTGAGTAGGTTAGTTGAGGGGTTATCATATATGACCTTTAATATGTTAAGGTATATTCTTTTTATATATAATATACTAGGGGTTTTTATCATAAAAGAATGTTAAATTTTATCAAATGCCTTTCTTGTACCTATTGAGATGATCATATGATTTCTATCTTTCATTTTGTTGATGTGGTGTTATCACGTTGATTTGTGTATGCTGAACCATCCTTATATCCCAGGGATAAATCTTACTTGATTCATCAGGGATATTGGCCGGTCATTTCCTTTTCTTGCAGGGCACTTGTC